CTAGCACCAATTTCAAATGTTGACCACCACTTCCGCTTTTTTCTGGAATTGCCCTTCTGTAACAAATGGCTGATAAACTTCTACTGTTGCATCCGTGCATATTTGCATTTATGCGTTTTGCGTGCTAATTTCTTGTTCTGAAGTATACATTGAGTATAGCAGATTGGCGCCTAACTTCAGGGTACAGGTTGCCAATCGCCTTCCCCCGAGCGAGTAGGCAACCCACTCCCTCGAGTGTGACTTGACTTGACTAACCACGAGGCCTCTTTTGGCCCAAGGTTCATGCGGTACAGCATATGCCCGGGAAAGTCGACGAGGCTGCCAACTAGACAACGCCGTCCAGATCAAACGTCAGCTTCCCGGCCACGGCGGGGTGACGGCCTCCTGACAACGGCGTGCTCGCGTCGAGCCCGAGCCACCGTGGGAACGCTGACGGGTAGCTCACAGTGCCCGAGGCGTAATGCCTGGTCCAGTCCCGGGCCGGTTGTTGGGCCTTACTGGGCGTTGCGCGGCCGGGGGCCCCGCCAGCCCCGCCCGGGCCGGCTCATGCCACTGGACCAGGAGGCTGGGCCGCCGGCGGCTGGATCTGGAACTGCCCACTGATCTCCGCGTTGATCAGGGAGGGGAGGAGAGGGGAGGGCAGGCGGAGCGCCCGAGGGCCCATACAGCAGGGCAGGAGGAGGAATGGCTGCGCTTCGTGGTAGCGCCCTTCTAAATATGTGTTCTGTATGAGAGTCCGCCCGGGGCGGGGTGCGGCGCGGGGTCAGGCGCGCGGGCCAGGACGGTAGTGGGCGTGGGAACGGGCGAGCACCTGGCCGTCGTGGTCCCGGAGGAGGCCCGGCCAGAGGCGGAGGACCTCTACCTCCGAGCGCCGCGCGCGCGCTTCTGCAGAGTTGTTGGCTTTGCGGACCGGGCCTGCAATCTCTGGAGGCCGTTTGTGGTAATCGACCGACGGGGCGGGGGATGGAGGGAGCGCGAGAGGGCGAGTGAGACAGCTCCCGACTGGGTTCGTGCGAAGTTGCTCTCCCTCCTTCCCTCCCTCCCCGCCCGGGATGTATTATTGCGACGAGCCGATCCTCCCGGTGTGATGTGCATGCGTTGCAAGCGTTGCAGCCGCATGCGTTCGCCTAGCGCCGCCCGAGCGGGAAGAGAGAGGGGAAAAGGGGTCAGATTTCGTGGAAACACTTGCACTCGGAAAGTAATTTCCTAACTCGCGACAGGGCAAAACTGCCTTAGGTTAAAGAAATTGACCGAAATTGACCTTGAATTAGGAAAATTTGCGGTAAATATTTTTTATTGTTTTCATTAACATACGGGAAAAACCTAAATTCGATCTATCTCTTTATTTAGAGGACATTTTTACTTTCACACAAAAATAATGAAGTTTCTTTAAAACAACGAAAATAATTCCACATGTCTTTTTAAGACAACACTTTTCTGGGTGCGCCCTTATTTCCTGCCTCACCATGGCCTCCGCTAACAACCTCCGCCGTCTCTCTCCTTTGCAGACCCGCAGACCTGGACGGCGGCGCACGTGTCGCAGTGGCTGCGCTGGTGCTCCAGGGAGTTCCACATCACGCCGCTGCCGGACCCGGACAAGTTCCCGCGCTCGGGCGGCGCGCTGCTCGAGCTCGACGGCGCCGGCTTCGAGTCCCGAGCCGGGTCGTCGCGCGGCGCGCGCCTGCTGCGCTCGCACCTCGCGCACACCCTGTTCCAGGCCACGGGCCGCGCCACCTC